TAATTAGTATTACCAATGTTTAGTAGTTTGTAATTAATACATGAAGGAAGTATATTACAAGGCATGTTTTCAATAATGTGTCTAATGAGTGGTCTGATATGGTAGGCACCTTGGCCCCCAGTATTATCGTATATCTTTCTTTGTTCGGCAAATTTTTTTTTTTTTTTTTTTTTTTTTTTTCTTAAAGAATGAGAGTGAGAGAGAGAGTTGGGCTGGGGAGGGGCATAGAGAGAATCCCAAGAAGGCTCTCTGTCCAGCTTGGAGCGTGAGGGTCTCTTGACTCTGAGATCATGACCTCAGCTGAAGCCAAGAGTCACACTCACTCAGCTGACTGAGCCACCAGGTGCCTCTTGAAGATTTTATTTTTAAGCAATCTCTATACCCAGCATGGGGCTGGAATCCACAACCCAGAGACCAAGAGTCACATGTTCTACTGACTGAGCAAGCTAGGCACCCCTCCATTTTACATTTCTAACCAACAATGAGATAGAAGTCTAAATTCATTCTTTTGGCATTTGTACATTATCCCAGCATTATTTATGGAAAAGATAACAGGCATACCTTGTTTTATTGTGCTTTGCTTTACTGCACTTTGTAGATACTGGGTTTTTTGGGGGTTTTTTGGGTTTTTGTTTGTTTCAAATCGAAGGTTTATGACAATCCTGCACCATCTTTTTCACAGCGTTTACTTCATTTTTTTTTTTTAAGATTTTATTTATTTATTTGACAGATCATGAGTAGGCAGAGAGGCAGGAAGAGAGAGAAGGAGAAGCAGACTCCCTGCTGAGCAGAAAGCTGGATGCGGGGCTTGATCCCAGGATCCTGAGACCATGACCTGAGCCAAAGGCAGAGGCCTAACTCACTGAGCCACTCAGACGCCCCCATTTACTCCTTTTCTCTCTCACATTTGGGCAATTTTTGAAATATTTCATAGTTTTTTATTTTGTTATGATCCGTGATCAGTAATTATAACTAGCTGAAAGTTTAAGTGGCACTTAGCATTTTTAACGTAAAATATTTTTAAGGTGTATCCACTGTGTTTTTGGGCCTACAGCTTTTGCTCACTTAGGAGATTACAGTATAGTCTAAATAAATGCTGTATGTGCACTGGGAAACCAGAAACTTCATTGGATTTGCTGTATTGTGTTACTCACTTTATTGCAGTGGTCTGGAAATCCACAACATCTCCAAGGTTTGCTTTTGTATTCTTTCTTCATCGAATTGTCTCAGAATCCTTGTCAAAACTCAAATGAACCATAAATGTTAGGGTTTATTTCTGGCTACTCAGTTCTGTTCCACTGATCATTACCAATCTTTATGGAAGTACCACACTATCTTGATTACTGTAGTGTTTTGTTTTTTTTTTTAAGATTTTATTTATTTATTTGACAGAGATCACAAGTAGAGAGGCAGGCAGGGGGTAGGGAGGTGGGGAGAAGCAGTCTCCCCGCTGAGCTGAGAGCCTGATGTGGGGCTTGTCCCAGGACCCTGGGATCATGACCTGAGGCTAACCCACTGAGCCACCCAGGTGCCCCGATTACTATAGTTTTATAGTAAGTTTTAAATTTAGCGGGCGCCTGGGTGGCTCAGTGGGTTGGGCCGCTGCCTTCGGCTCAGGTCGTAATCTCAGGGTCCTGGGATAGAGTCCCGCATCGGGCTCTCTGCTCAGCGGGGAGCCTGCTTCCCTCTCTCTCTCTCTGCCTGCCTCTCTGCCTACTTGTGATCTCTCTTTGTCAAATAAATAAATAAAATCTTTAAAAAAAAAATAATAAATTTAGCAAGTGTAACTCTTTGTTCTTATTCAAGGGAGTGTGGCTCTTCTGAGTCCTTTGCATTTCCTTGTACGTTTTAGGTTTAGGTTTTTGATTCTTGTAACAAACCAGTTGGAATTTTGATACTATTGAATTGAATCTTTAGGTGAATTTAGACATATTGTCATTTTAACAATATTAAGTCTTCTCTTTATGAACGTGGGCTGTCCTTCCTTGTATTTAGACTATCTTTTATTTTTGAGCAATGTCTTAACTCTCAGCGTACAGATCTAGCTATTTCTATGTTTCTTTCTAAGTGGGTTTTTTTTTTTGATGCTGTTGTAAATGGAATTACTTTTTTTTTTTTTAAGATTTTATTTATTTATTTGACAGATAGAGATCACAAGTAGGCAGAGTGGCAGGCAGAGAGAGAGGAAGGGAAGCAGGCTCCCTGCTGAGCAGAGAGCCCTAAGGTGGGCTCGATCCCAGGACTCTGGGATCATGACCTGAGCTGAAGGCAGAGGCTTTAACCCACTGAGCCACCCAGGCGCCCCGGAATTACTTTCTTAATGTCATATTTGTATTTTCACTGTAGTGTATAAAAATGAAATTGATCTATTTTATGTATGGATCTTATAAATTATACTTAACTGGGGATGCCTGGGTGGCTCAGTCGGCTAAGCGTCTGCCTTTGGCTCAGGTTATGATCCCAGAGACCTGGGATCGAGCCCCGCATCAGGCTTCTTACCCAGTGGAAAGCCTGCTTCTCTCTCTGCCTTTGCCTGCCACTCTGCCTCCTTGCGTTCTCTCCTTCTCTCTGACAAATGAATAAATAAAATATTTTAAAAAAAAATTATACTTAACTGGTTTTTTGATTTTAGCTTTTTTTTTTTAGTAATTTATTTTCTACTTAGAGGTTTACCTTTTCTATATCTTGTCACTTTTATTTTATAAATTATTTTTGTTGATTCCTATTTCAATAATCTGAAAGACTTTGGCATTTAGGTTTAGAAAATTCTTATTCTTGTGTCCTGTCAGGTAGATACACAATTGTTTAATTTTCCTTAAGATGCCTTGTGTATAGCAGGAATCCTGGTACAAAAAACAAGGATATGATTCCACGTTTAGGCTTCATGAGAATAGGTGCTACCTTATAGATGCCGAACATAATTGTCACTTAAAACCTTACATTTCCAGTTGGTAACTTTTATTTTTCTGTTTTGTCTTGTTTGTATTTTGAATGTACTAGACACCTAGATTTAATTTATAAGAGATCTTTAGCTGAAGGACTAGAATGTGCCAGGACAGAATCATGGTAGTAAGCTCTATACTGTGGAAACAATCTGAAGCTCATAGTCAGTATGGAAACCTAACACAGATACACAGAGAAAGCTTGGTGGTCCTTGAGAATTAGAGTGAGTATCTATCAGGCATTTGACATGAGCAAAATATGGTCTCTGAATGATGAATGGTGGCTGAAACATCTGGGTGGTTCTGGTTTGGTGAAGAACTAACTGGTTGTATGAACTTTGGGAAATTATTCAACTCTTAGTTTCTGTTTCTACCTCTGTAAAAATGAGGTGTGTCTGAGTGATGACTAAATTTCTCCTCAGGTGTAAAATTCAGCATTACCTTGGACTCTGCTCTCCTAGTTGCACATAGATTGACTGTTAGTCTCTAAATAGGTTCTAATCATACAGAGTAGTAAAAATCTCGTGTGTGACTCTACTATGCAAACAAGTTGAGGATTCCTGCTTTATACGCACCTAAAAGGTTAAGGGCAGCTTGATGTCAAGTAATATTTTCAGGCTCTGATATTTTAAAAATGATGAAATGGAATGATGGTTATGGAAATAACATAAATTACTTCATTTTGTGATTTATGGAGTAATTTGGTATGTTGTATCATTGAACTGAAGAACAATTCTGTGAAACTAAAAAGGTGCTATTTTGCCCATTTTGTAAATGATGAAATTGAAGTTCCGAGAAACTAAGTGACTTATGCAAAGTTACTGTGCTAATTAAAAAAAAAAAGGGGGGGGGAACCTGGAACTGTTTGCACATCTGGCGCCATTCCCATTAACCCATCAGTTAGGATTATATAGGATAAATAATTTCAAAGATTTTTAGTCCCTTCTGTTATGTGTTTACTGGTCTTTGAAATCAGATAATTATCTAGATTTATAAGATTTAATAATCTATAACTGTGGGGTCTTTATTCCTCTTTAAGCTAATAAGGTCCTTAAAAAATTTCCACCTATGGGGGCGCCTGGGTGGCTCAGTGGGTTAAGCCGCTGCCTTCGGCTCAGGTCATGATCTCAGGGTCCTGGGATTGAGCCCCGCATCGGGCTCTCTGCTCAGCAGGGAGCCTGCTTCTTCCTCCCTCTCTGCCTGCTTGTGATCTCTGTCAAATAAATGAATAAAATTAAAAAAAAAAAAATTTCCACCTATGTATTTTCAAGTATGAGTATCTGGCCACTAATTGTGATAGAAAACCAACTGGGTGGGAGACAGGGTGAAACTAATTTCACAATATGGTAATCACTTGAGCTGCCACATGAAGAATGATTATGTATTCACTTGGCTTTCTCCTTGGAGGTAATTGCTGCAGATAAACAAGAGGACACAACCATCAATTTTCCCCTTGTGTTAATGGTGATTGATTTAAATTTGTTATGTGTGCCTTCCAGTTTATCCACTTCAATACCTTTTTTTTTTTTTTTCTAGTCAGGTTGGAAGAACTAACTCATGAGTGCTATGGTACTTTGTGTTTTGTGCTGTTCAGTTGCTTGTACATATGGGTAGAACAGTGTATTCTTTGGAGCAATAACTTTGGATATATTTGGTCACTGTGGCTGTGGTTCCTAGAAGTCCTTTGAATTTCATGCCTTACTATGCTGGCAACTAGCCAGTTAATCATCAGCGAGCTGGGCTTTGGAAGTGGTGCTTTGTGGTTGTGTGACTATGAAGCTTTAATTCTCTCCTGACTGTCCCTTTAAGAATCTCAGACCTGGATCTCTGGGGAAGTCTTGCATTTAACTCTATATTAATTGTTCTACTTTTCAACTTTTGGCTTTCCTGGAAGTGTGGGACAGATCAGCTATGGTGTTCTTCCCTGTCTTGGGAGAGATGAGTGAGAATTCTAAGATCATCTTAAGAAAGTCAGTTTCCTTAAATAACTAATGTTTTTAGAGTAAATATTGGACATTGTCTATTCCTGTTGGTTCACTGTGCTTTCTCTCCCTTTAGCCCCCCAGGTTCGCCCAATAGTCTTGGCTACTTCCCTACAGCTGCTAATCTTAGCGGTGTCCCTCCACATCCTGGCACGGTGGTCAGAATGCAGGGCCTGGCCTACAATACTGGAGTTAAGGAAATTCTTAACTTCTTCCAAGGTTACCAGGTCAGTAGCTTGAAGAAGAAAAATACACAGTGCCCTTATTACTTAAGTTGATTTTCTTGAAAAATGCAGCAGCCAGGAAAGAAGCAGATTCTCGGAACCTCGTGTGTATGTGTGCTGATAGATTTGCTTACAGAGGCAAAAAGAACCCGAGGCAAAGTCAGAGGGACTAGTTATATGAGTGCTCACTTCAGACTCACCCCTTTGACAAGATGAGGGCTTTTCCGTGCTGTTCTAATTGTCTCAACATAGTCTGTTGGTGCTCTTTTTGAAAATTGGGCTCCTTTGGGAAAGCTCTTTAGACCACACAGCATTGTGGGTCTTTCATGTAGAATAGGGTTGGCTGCTGAGGAGTTTTCCTCAAATTCTTGATGAACAAGAAAAAAAAAAGTTCTTAAACATGAAGTTGAGTGTCTTAAAAGTGGTTAGAGGCCTCTCTGCCTAACCTGGAAAAAAACAAAGGAGACTCAAGGAATCTTTAGAGGCTAACTTATTAAAATGAGCTGTAGGATAATTAGCTTTTTATGAAATGATCTGCTGTAATTCTTGTAAAAAGAATATTCAGTCTTCCTGGATTTTTCTACCACTGTTGATGTCCATCAGTTGTCTTCTGACTTAAGCTGAAAAATGACACGTTTCTCAATAAGAGCTCTTTAGCAGGAAGCAAAGTCTCCTCAATGCCATCACATCTGAGCAACCTTTCCTTCCACAAATGATATAAGTACCTAGAACCCAAATTCCTTTCCTGCGTTGTCTAAAAATCAATATCCTGAAGCTGTTTTATTGCATCAATAGCAAAAATTATCTTTCTTCTTGGAGCTGAGCTTTGCTTGATTCTCCAGAGTTGAAAAGCGTTTATAGACATAATTGTCAAATCTTAAAATAGGCCTTGAACGTTTACGGTACAGTGTTGTACAGGTTGTGCCTACAGAGGCTGTTTCGCTCTTAGAATGGGTTTACAAGCTTGGCATCCATGAATCATGGAGGATTGTGGAGCTCAGCTAAAATAATCTACGTGGAGATACCACAAACCCACCAAGTTACTCTAATGGTCTTAAGAGCTTTTAATATAGAATATTTTCTGACAAATGAAGAAAATCTAATGAAGGTTGGACAGAGTTGTTTTTTATTACTGCCTGGTTTAATACATTCTTACTAGAGGTAAGATATTTTTCAGAAATCAGTGAGTCTTCCCCCATTATCTATGGGAAAAACATTTTTTTTTTTTAACTTTATTTTCTTTTTTCAGTGTTCCAAGATTCATTGTTTATGTACCATACCCAGTCCTCCATGCAACATATGCCCACCTTAATACCCACCACCAGGCTCACCCAACCCCCCCATCACCCTCCCCTCCAAAACCCTCAGTTTGTTTCTCAGAGTCCACAGTTTGTCATGCTTCATCTCACCCTTATGGGAGAAACAGTCTGAGACCCCCAGTGGATGCCTGAAATTGCAGATAGTATCAAACCCTATATATGCTTTTTTTTTTTCTTATTCCTGCGTGCCTATGTTAATTTATAGGTTAGGCACAGTGAGACATTAACAACAATAATAAAGTACAACTGTAATGAAAGAGATGTAAATGTGGTCATTCTCTCCCTAAATATCTTACTGTACTGCCCTCACCCTTGTTGTGATGAGATGGTGTGAGAAGACAAAATGCCTGTGTGGTGAGAGGAAGTGAGGGGAAAGACTTAGAGATAGTGATGTCGCATTAGGACCCTCTGCTTCCCGTGGAGGGTAACTGAAACTCCTGGTAAGGGGGACTATTGGAGATGCTTTGCTTCTTTCCTAAGCTATTATACTACCTATTGGGAGCTCTTGCAGGGCTAAACAAAGTTACTTTCTAAACTTCATAGTGAGATTCGTGAGGTTATGAAAGGAATAGAGACTTTCAGTGAAAGCTATTGAAGAAATTATTTAATGTGACCAAGATAAACATTGGAGTTTTTATTTTTCTCCCAATGTTCCCCAGTTCTAGAAAGCTACAAGCAAAGTGTCAGGTTTTAGGGGTCAGCTGAATTAGTTTAATTTTTTGTTTTGACTAATCAACTTTTCACCTTCACACTGAATAGAATTAAGTGGTCATATACAGAGAAACTGGTTATGACATGAAGCAAAATTGCTCTTTTTTTTTTCCTTTAAGATTTTATTTGAGAGAGAGAGGCAGAGAACACAAGCAGAGGGAGCTGCAGGCAGGAGAAGCAGGCTCCCTACTAAGAAGCCTGATGCAGGACTTAATCCCAGAACCCTGGGATCATGACCTGAGCCAAAGTCAGACATTCATCCTACTGAGCCACTTAGGGGTCCCAAGCAAATTTGCTCTTATTATGAAGAGTTCTATGGCTGACTTTTGTAGGTATTTATTCTACCAGTAACAAATAAAAGCAGTTATTTCTAGATTGATAGCTAAAAGATTGACCTGCTTCAGAGTTGAGATCAGATAAGTTTGTAGTAGTTTATTTTCTGTTAGCTTCTTGAGAATCATTAAAGGTTAGAGTTACCTGATATAATCAGAAGTAAGAAGATTGTGCAAATTACTTCATCTCAAGGCATTTGGCCTTCACTGCTGAAGTGCTTGAAGTTTATGAAGTAGATCAATGAATTAGGATTATGTAGGAACCTGGGACGCTTGGCTGGCTCAGTTGGGAGACCATGCAACTCTTGATCTCAGAGTGTGAGTTCAAGCCTCATGTTGGGCCTAAAGCTTATACTTAAAGATTACATAGGAACCTCACTTATCCAATTGAGTATATCAGATTATTCCAGTGTCTTCAGTAATTTTAGCTTTAAGGCAGTAACATGCATGCATCCGAAATCTTTTGTATCTCTCTTCCATAAGGGCTCATGTTTTCTGGCTTTGAGAGTCCATATCATCTTTTTCCCTGCGGACCCCGTACTCCATTTTTTTGATAATAAGCCACTTACAGGATTTCAGATTGTTTAAGTATAGCTTTACCATAAGACAAAATCAGTGAAGGATGATTAAAAACTGTGAATTCTGTGTTTGTCTTTATTTATGGTGTATTTCTTGCTATTTTTTATTTAATGGGAGGTTTTCATTTATTTTTCTGATTATTTATGATTATTATATGGTTATGTAATATAGTCATAATTAAGCAAATACGTGGTAATAATTGGTTGAGCGAAGGAAATCGCTTGATAGTTTCTGATTCTGCCTTTAAAAAATGTCGAGGTAATAATGGCCCGTGTCATTTTCTATAAACATTATATTTAAATATTATTTTTAGATGTATGTTTCTCCTACCATTAGGAAAATTCCTTCTACTTCAATTTAATTTTTCTATACTTCATACTTGGAGAGGGGGTGTGAAGCCAGAAAGGGCAAGGACTTACAAAAAGGGAAGAATTCTTGTGGATAAAACACAATGCAGGAAATGTTTTCTGCTATCAATCTTTAATTTGTAGGGGCACCTGGCTGGTTTAGTTGGAAGAGCACATGACTCTTGATCTTTGGGTCATGAGTTTGAGTCCCACATAGGGTATAGAGATTAAAAAATATACATAAGAAAAATTCAGTAATTTTACAAAGTTAAAGTGCCTGGGTTGGGTCCATTTTGATGAATGAGATTAATAGAATGAGAACTGATTATATGAAGATAAGCTACCATGAAAATATTTGGTCAGGAGAATGTCCTGGTTGTGAAAATAAACCCATATCTAGGGGCACCTGGGTGGCTCAGTGGGTTAAGCCCCTGCCTTCGGGTCAGGTCATGATCTCAGGGTCCTGGGATCGAGTCCCACATCGGGCTTTCAGCTCAGCGTGGAGCCTGCGGGGAGCCTCTCCCTCTCTCTCTGCCTGCCTCTCTGCCCACTTGTGATCTCTGTCAAATAAATAAATAAAACCTTTTAGAAAATTTAATAAAAATAAATAAAAATAAACCCATATCTATATTTTAGTTGATGGGCCTCTTATTCTGGACTCTGGTATTCTTACATAATTCCTTTAACTGTATTTGCTCTGTGCTTTACCCTTTACTGTTAAAGGCTTTGCAGTTTCCATAGTGCTAGTTTTTGTTTCCTCTAAAAATACTGGCTTTAATCAGTATCTCTTTGGGCCTCTCATGGCTGATATTTTTACTTGTCCACCTGAAGAATTAGGCTGATCTTCCAAGTAACAGCTAATATTTAAAGTTCACAGAGTTGTTTGCAGACGCTGGGCTTATTGTACAGTACCTTGCAAATAGTTGATACTCAACTCCTTTGTATCTAGTCGCACCTGTGGTATCATGGAAACTGTACCATTAGCAAGATCTGAAAGGTTTGGTGTTGACTGTGTCACAGTCTTCTTTTCTTCTCCCTGTGTTCAATTAAACTTCCTTCCTAAGGAAGGAAGGAAGGAAGGAAGGAAGGAAATTTCCTAAAAAGGAAGTTTTAAACTGCTTAAAAAAAAAAAAAAAAAAAAAGGAAGTTTTATGGTATTTAGACATATTAAATAGGATGTAGTAACTTGAGATTTGTGGTTATGTATGTGGCTTATACCAAGAGTTTTAACTTGTTTCCTCCAGTCTAAATAGAGTGTAATACTGTTGGTAGATCTAGTCAGTTGAAATACTAATAATCCATAGTGGCAGTTTGTCCATCTTTTGATCCTGTTTGTTCTAACTTGCATTTTAGTATGCAGCCGATGATGGACTTGTACACACAAATGACCAGGCCAGGACTCTACCCAAAGAATGGGTTTGTATTTAAGGGCCCCAGCAGTTAGACCATCCTCAGAAAAGAAGGTAAGGCACTATGATGTGAAAGCTTAATCATAAAGGGCCAAAACGAATAAAGATCAAGAATTCGAAAGTGTTTCTTATGAGCTGGGTGAGAGATTTCCCCTTTTCTTCGGTGTGATTGTAGGAGGGTCAGAAATCCTGGAAGAAATGGGAGACTGGAATTCAGTGTGTCATTCAAAAAGACAGTATCTAAGCAACATTTATGGATAATAGTTGTATGTTATTTTGGGCTAAGGGAAAACTTTTCCATTTGGAAATCCGTTTGCTGTATTTTGTGTGGAATGCAGGTTGGGTATGCTTTTTTTTTGGTTTTGCTTTAACTGCAGTAAAAGTCACATAACAGAATCCATCGTTTTTAAGTCTACAATTCAGTGGCATTTAGTGTATTCACAACATGTGCAACCATCTCTATCTAGTTCCAAAACCTCTTAATCACCCCAGAAGGAAACCTCATGCCCTTTAAGCAGTATCTCCTTATTTTCCTTCCCCATTGACCCTGGCAACCAGTATGCTTCCCGTCTGCATGCATTTGCCTATACTGGATATTTCATATGAATGGGATCCTACAACATGTGACTCTTTTGTGTCTGGCTGCTTTTCACTTCACATGTCTTTGAAGTTCATCCTTGATGTGGCATGTCTCAGTACTTTGTTCCTGTTTGTGGCTGAGCTACCCCATTGTATGGATATACCACATCTGTTGATTTCTCTACTGATAGACGTTTGGGTTATTTCTACCTCTTGCTATTTATATAGTGCTGATATGAATATTTATGAGTACCTGTTTTTAATTCTCTTCGGCATGTTTCTAGGAGTGGAATCACTGAGTCCTATGGTAATTCTGTTGAGCTGGGTGCACTTTTTTCCATTTCCTTTTTTTTTTTTTTTTTAATGGTGGTAACTAATACATATACATAACATAAAATATTTTTAGGTGTACAGTTTAGTGGCATTAAATACATTCACATGATTATGTAACTATTACCACCATCTAGCTTCATCTTCTCTAACTGGGTCTCCCCATTTCTCCCTTCCCTCAGCCCCTGGCAACTACCTTTCTACTTCCTGTTTCTCCGCATTTGACTGTTTTCAGTACCTCATAAATAACACAATGTTTGTCTCTCATAATTAGCTTATTTCTGTTAACATAATGTTTTTAAGTTTCATTGTCTAAGTCTGGAGGGAAGGAACCCTGATAGTTTAGTTTTTTAATTGATAACCTTTTCTTAAAGGATATTGACTTTCTTTGCGAGACTGAAGAGAATATATTTTGGGGACATGGTCAGGAATTGGTGTGGCTTAATTTCTTCATTTTTTTATTATTGAGTTTGCTGAAATTGGTTTTCCTGGCATACTATCTTCAGATTTTGTTACCATTTTTATGGCTGAGGAGCCTATGGGCCTTAACCATATGGATTCTAAATTGGAAAATATGGTTACCAATAGTATGCTGTTGTCCTTGAAAAATGACAGTTGGGTTCTTAGCTCTCCTTCTGAAGTTTTAGAAACCTCAGTTTTGGGGTGGCGTGGAGGTGATGATTCTCTGCCATTTTCTGTGAGGTTTCAAGATCTCTTGGGTACCAAAGAGTATCATGCCCAGATACTTTGCAGTGGGAAGTGGGGTGTTTTCTAGTTTAGTTCACAATGATGGGAGACATTAATCTAACTTTATGATACTCTTTTTGGTCCATACTTTGTAATTTGAAATGTTCTTTGTTCAACCTCTAAATGCTGTTTATGAACTTAATAAAGATCTATATAGAAAAAGGAACATATTAAATTAGAAATGAAACTTTTTGCTATTACATTAGAAATATCCTAAATTGACTATAGCCACTACTCAGCTTTGATTCTATCTTATGCTTGGAGTCAGGATAGAATAGCAAATCAGTTACTCTGTCAAAACCCAGATTTTTGCATTTTATTATAATATCAGATTAATATGCTTTTTATATTGAGTTTTTTTTTTTAAGTCACGTGGAGTTACTGTGTGAAACACTTGGCCTAAGTTATAAGATATTTAATGATCTCAGCAACCCTGGGATATAAGGATCACAAAAGTATTATTTGCTCATTTTAGAGATTTTGGAACATATAGACAGGTACAAAGAAGTCTCTAGTAATTCCACCCTCCAGAAATAACCACAACGAATGTCTCCTTTCAGCTTCTTTTGTGTATGCCCTCATGCAGTTTGGACCTAGTTTCTTTTCCCCTTAACCTTATAGTGTGACTATATATTGTTTTCAGCTCATCTATATTACTAGTCGGATTTATCAAACCAGTCATCTCTTACACCTGTAGATGACCTTATGCTGTTTAAGCATTTTATACCTCCAATGCCATGTGAGTCTTCTCACAGCACTGTGGGGCATCGGGGTGGGTGTCCCCACGGCTCCATCTGACAGATAAGAAAACGAAACCCAGGAAGCTGGGTAATTTTCAGAGTCCTACAGCTTATGACCAGGCTGAACAAAAGATTCATCACTTCTAGTTTCAATCTTCATACTCTTTTCCATTGAGCAAATAAGAGCATGGCAGAGTAAGTACTTGTAGTAGGCTGAATGGTGGTCCGAAATATGTGTCCCAATCCCTGGAACCAGTGACTATTACCTTACCTGGCCAAAAATGTAAATTAAGGATCTTGAGGGAAGGAGTTTATCCTGGATTATCTGGGTGGGCCCTTAGAGCAGTTACAAAAGAGGCAGAAGGAGAGGGGCGGTACAGGCATGGAGGCATAGACTGGAATGATGCCAACATAAGCCAAGGAGCACCTGCAGCCATCAGGAGCTGGAAGAGGCAAAGAGTGTTCCCAAGAGCCTCTGGAGAATGTGCATCCTGGATGATAACCTTGATTTCTGACTTGTGGCTGCTAGAATTGTGAGAGAATAAGTTTCTGTTGTTTTAAGCCACCAAATTATAATTTTATCTCATATGGTTGTAATTTTTTTTCAAATTGTCGTAATTTTTTTTTAAAGATTTTATTTACTTATTTGTCAGAGAGAGAGCACAAGCTGAGGGAAAGGCAGATAGAGAAGCAAGCTCCATACTGAGCAAGGAGCCCGAAGCAGGACTTGATCCCAGGAACGTGGGACCATGACCTGAGCCAAAAGCAGATATTTAACCAACTGAGCCACCCAGGCATCCCGTAGTCATTTTTTAAGTTTTATTTATTTATTTAAGAGAGAGAGAGAGAGAGAGAGAGAGAGAGAAAGCGCTCTGCATAAGCAAGGGAAGCGGGAGAGGGAGAATCTCAAGCAGACTTCCCACTGAGCATGGAGCTCAAGTATGGTGTATAAGTGAAATTAAGTGAAATAGCATAGTAGAACCAATCTGTGTTCAAATTTTGGACCTGCTTATTACTGGTTTAATTGCTCTATGCCTCCATTTCCCCATCTGTATAATGGGGATAACATGGTAATCTTACAGGATGGTTGTGTGGATAAATGAATTAATCCACATCAAGGTTGTTCATCAACTAGTCACTGACATGTAGGGTTCATGTTTCCTATAATGTCATGCCTCATTGCTTCTTACTCGGATATTTTTGCTTCACCTTATTTGAAATTTCTTATGTTAGAATTTAATTTTTAAAAATTGTCTTCATGGTTTTAACAATGGTATTGAGCCTCTAATATCAGAAGAATGCTGTGGTAACTTGGGAACCCAGACTAAGGAATGTCAGTGTGCTTATTGGCATTGTAAAACGGACTCTCCACAAGGGAGCTGAGTGAAGTGTGGAGGTGACAGCACGCACATGATCATGCATCATAATACACAGGGCAGGGAGTTGTGGAAATGCCAGTTACCACAGAAACTTCATTTGCAGCATTGTATTCCCTGAAAACTTGTCATGTAAAAGCCAGCTATGTTTGTGTAAAATAAAAATTTGGACTACCTTAAGGCTTTTTTTAAATTTAAGACCTTGTGTCATTCAAAATAATTTCTTTATAGCTGCCAATAATTGAAAAATTTGGAGACTATAATATTTCCTTTCATTGTTTTTTGTTTGTTTCAGTGTTTAAAAGATGTATGGTGATCCTGAAGCCGTCAGATATGACAACTTCTAGCAACTTCAGGGGAAGTTTGTCTACGCTCAGGCTGCAGTATTTTCAGCAAACATGATTGGACAGTGGGCTTTTGCCCAATCATTTGGTAGAGTAAAAAAAAACTTGAGCCAGTGAAGCCAAATCCTTATAGCAAGCAGCACGCCTGGCTCCTTGCTGATTGCAAATAGGCATTTAAAATGTGAATTTGAAATCAGGTGACTCCATTACTTCCAGCTAATGTGGCATCGTAGGTGTTTCCTAAGTTTTAAGTCTTGGACAAAAAATACTAGTGTCTACCATCTCCATCAGGAACTGTGTTATGGAAGCTGTTTCTATTTTTCATTCTCTTTCTCCATGTCTTCTGCACAAGTGTGCCCTCTTACTAATTCAAGAATAAGGTCTTGGAATCCTTAAGTCTTACTGTTAAACCAATGCAACTGCCTTTTTAAACACCTTGGGATAAATCAGAAGACCTCTTGTACCCACCACCAAACACTCCTAGCTTCAAAGTTTCACCTTTTTTTCTCAGCAGGTACCAGTTGTAAATAAGAATGAACTAGGGGCCAAAATGCGAAACCAAAAATGAAGCAGCTATCTGTAGTTAGTAATTTCTAGTTTAAACTGTAACTGAACATTGTGGCTTCATATGTATTATTTTATATTGTACTTTGCCCATTACTGATGGTTTGGACTTTAATAAGAGAAATTCCATAGTTTTTAATATCGTAAAATGAGAATATTTGAACAGTGTATTCTAGAAAGCAATGTACTAACTGAAGTGAATGCTTGTATATATTAAGATAGAGCCTTAAAACTTTCTCTCTAATGCCTTAACTGTCAAATAATTAAAACTTTTTAAAAGCCTAGGATTATAGTCAGTATGCTGGACTGAGAGGTAAACACTGAAGCCACTAGAGCAGGTACTGATGCTGTCAGTGTTTAGCACTGTGTGTTTAGCTGTGTTTATGCTAAAAAGTGCAATATTAGACACTAGCTAGCTAGTACTGCTGCCTTGTGCAACTCCAAAGAGGAAAACAGGATTTGATTAAGTGCTCATGTGTCTTTAAGTTACTCCTATTGTCCTTGGTTCGGATGCAGTGCCCTGCAGGCTTCTGTGGCTGCTATTTTTATTTCCTTTGCATTATTTTGATTAACACCTTGAATGGAGAGCCAAACATTCCCTCTTCATCTGACCAGCAATGGCCCTCTAACTGCAGTAGGAAAAAACAAAACAAAACAAAACACAACATTTGGTCTGAAAATTGGTGACAACTGGCACTTAAGATCAGAAAAAGAGTTGTTTATACTTGATGCCTTAAGATGCTGTCGGCCCAAAGTTCTGAGAGACTTTAAGATAGAAAGTAATACTTAACCACGGTACTAGAGTTTTCGTAGAATTGTTACATTTGATAATAAAACCCGCCTGTTTAATCTCAAAGCATGTGTGCTTTTTTTTTTATTCCTGGAAGAGTTAGGGTCATGATGGGAGAGCATGGGTAAGCCATGTTTTTCCAAAGTGGTAAGGTTTTTCCCTGGTTGCCATAAGGGTTTGTAAAAGCCACCAAGGATAAGTGCACTCCAGGTACAGGTCAAACAACCCTACTCCCTTTTTAAAAAGATTTATTTATTGGGTGCCTGGGTGGCTCAGTGGGTTAAGCCCCTGCCTTCGGCTCAGGTGATGATCTCAGGGGTCCTGGGATCGAGTCCCGCATCGGGCTCTCTGCTTGGTGGGGAGCCTGCTTCCCTCTCTCTCTCTCTCTCTCGCTCTGCCTGCCTCTCTGCCTACTTGTGATCTCTCTCTGTCAAATAAATAAAATCTTTTTTTTTTTTTAAGATTTTATTTATTTATTTGACAGAGAGAGATCACAAGTAGACAGAGAGGCAGGCAGAGAGAAGGAGGGAAGCAGGCTCCCTGCCAAGCAGAGAGCCCGATGCGGGACTCGATCCCAGGACCCTGAGATCATGACCTGAGCCGAAGGCAGCGGCTTAACCCACTGAGCCACCCAGGCGCCCAATAAATAAAATCTTTAAAAAAAAATTTTTTTTACTTATTTGGCAGCAGGGAAAGGGAGAGGGAGAAGCAAGCTCCATCCCAGGACCCTGGGATCATGACCTGAACTGAAGGCAGCTGCTTAACTGATTGAGCCACCCAGGTGCCTCCCAAACAGCCATCCTTTAAAGCATTAATCACTGAAACTTTCATTCTGAAATGTGTAACTGTGACAGCAGTGAGATCATTTTGTCCTTGCATTTTTTTTTTTTTTAAGATTTTACTTATTTGGCAGACAGAGATCACAAGCAGGCAGAGAGAGAGAGAGGAGGAAGCAGGCTCCTTGCTGAGCAGAGAGCCCGATGCGGGGCTCGATCCCAGGACCCTGAGATCATGACCTGAGCCGAAGGCAGCAGCTTAACCCACTGAGCCACCCAGGCGCCCCTGTCCTTGCATTTTATTACTGGTGCTCTACTTGACAATCTAAAAACCTGCATAAGCCACAGAAAACTGAGAAGATGGAGCACTCTGTTTCTGAATTCCACAGTCTTCTATTCCAGTTGCTCTTTGCCCATATGGATTTCCACAATATTCTCAAATCTGAATTTTATCTGTTCCTCAGGAGTACAGTCAAGGCTTGGCTGAGTTCTATTTCAGAGCTGTCCTATATTGTCAGGATCACTTGGCATACATAATCTTGTTACAGAGCTTGAGTATGTCAATTCTGAATTTGGATTATAACCTCACGGGTAAGAAATATACCTGTATTTTCTCTGTCCAGCACATTTGCAGTCACTCAACCCTTGTGAAGCATTCATGGGATAGGAAGTTTAATTCACCTGGGAAATTCTTTCAGTCCCAGTCCTTAATGTCATTTACAAAAATGCAGTCCTTTACGGTTTGTACTTCACCTTAGGGTGTCTGCTATCATCTGCAAGGAGCTGGCAGAGATCTCTGGCAAGCTGAGATTCTGACCCCCATTCTGTCCCTGGTAGGCTTTTAACATTGCCCGGGCTATTCCTTGCTGTAACCAAAAAGTTGCCCGTGCTAAACTCGTTTTTCTATTTACCTCCCCGAGATGGCGCACATGTAGCTGATCTCATGGCAGAAAAAAAAAAAAACTGGGTGTGGAGTAAAGGAAGGAAAAAAAATGAGCACAAAGAGGACCAGAATATGTATAAGACATTAAAGTTCCGTCTCTCAGGTTTATAGCTGATTGCACAATTTCTCTTTGCCCTACTTTCCCCAGCTATTGGGGACATATGAAAGTAGAATGATGAACACTTTGCACCCTTTACCTAGCTTCAACAATGATGAACTCCAGGCCCATCTTGCTTTATATCTCTTAACATTTTCCCCATTGTATTATTTTGAACCAAATCCTTTGGGTCAAGTCTAAAATGGATCCTCCGGTGCTTGGCTGGCTCAGTCTGAAGAGCGTGGGACGCTCAATCTCGGTCGTGAGTTTGAGCCTTGTGTTAGGTGTAGATATGACTAAATAAAACAAAGAGATCTCCAAGTTTAAAATTAAGCCACTAGGGCGCCTGGGTGGCTCAGTCATTAAGTGTCTGCCTTCAGCTCAGGTCAAGATCCCAGGGTGTTGGGATCGAGCCCCACATTAGGCTGCCTGCTAAGCAGGAAGCCTGCTTCTCCCTCTCCCATTCCCCCTGCTTGTATTCCCTTTCTTGGTGTCTGTCAAATAAATAAAATCTTAAAAAAAAATTAAGCCACTATAGTAGGTGATGTCTTGAGTAGAAGAATAAAACTAAATTGGTAAGGGTGCTTGGGTGGCACAGTTGGTTAAGCCCCTGCCTTCTGTTGAGGTCATGATCCCAGGGTCCTGGGATTGAGTCCCAAGTAAAAAAAAATTGGACTATTGGAAATTCTCTGTTTATGGATGCTTTTAGTTCAAGGTTAAATCTGATCTGTTCATGCTGTAGTCTTATGTGCTAATGCAAGGAAACACAGACTAGGCAGGAGATGATCCGAACTTTGAAGACCAGGGACGCCTGGGTGGCTCAATTAGTTAAGCATCTGCCTTTCGCTCAGGTCATGATCCCGGGACCCTGGAATCAAGTCCTGCATTGGACTTCTTTCTCAGTGGGGAGCTTGCCTCTCCCTCTGCCTGCTGCTCCCCCTGCTTGTGCTCTCTCTCTCTCTCTCTCTCTGTTTCTAACAAATAAATAAGAAAACTTCGAAAACCAAAGGCCATCAGGATGAAATTCAGGAATAAGTGCACTACGTGGGTGCCTTAGGGAGAAAACTATTTTTTCTACACGTTTTTTCTACACTGAAAAAAATAGAAAAGTGAAAAAAATAGAAAACTTTTTTCTACACTGCCTCCTTTGTGCTGAGTGACATAGTAAAAGCCAAGACCCCAATGTGTGGGCCTAGGGAAAAAAAGGTTCAGAAGCAAATTACTTGACTTGCCCCTATCTTAGACTTAAATTTTGTCCTAATTTCATTGTAGTCCAATACAATTCCATTATGTGGAATGTGGAGAGATATGTGGAGCCAAAAACCAAGCTGGAACTCATTACATGGGAAGAATATACTGTGAACAACAACAAAACCACCACCGAGAACATGTATGTCCAACAGTAATAAGCATTATATTGGTTAAATGAATCGTCACAACAACCTATTATATAGTAGGTACTGCCATTATGACAGACTAGAAAATGGAAGCATCGGTCAAGTAAAACCTCACAGCTGCACAGAAAGTAAAGGGTGGAACCTGGAAAATAAGATTTGGAGACTGGGTGATGTGGTTGATACTCTCCTAGTTGCTCCTTTATCCACTTGGCTCTTTCTCTGAGCACAGCACAAATACTGTTTGTTGTTTACAATGTCACAAAGTAGGGCTTCAGAGTGTTGCTTGGGTCTGCCTTTCTACTTTATTGCCAGCATGCCTCTAATTCAGCCCCTGAATTATTCAGTAGCTGCATATTGTTTCTGTTCTAAAAGTGAATGTAGATAAATGGGTAACAAAGCTTCTGGCTACACATTTGAATTTGAGCCAATGTTTTATAACCCAAACCTGTATGATAGTAGAATTAAACACCAAAAACACATTTTTTTAAAAGATTTTATTTATTTATATGTCATAGAGAGATCACAA